CTTCTCCATTCCTTTTCCTTTCTAGTCAACCATCACCTGCCAGGGCCCACCCTGCTGAAGCTCCAAAGCTCAGGATGCACCGAGGGCTGAAGGCTGGGAGCACAACAGTGAGTGCGAAGGAGAGCTGAGAAACGATGTTTCCGTTCCAAGTTAACACTGCAAAAACGCTTACCCGGCACCTGTAGGTGACGAGTGACAATACTTATCCTGAGCTTTTAAAACTAAAAAAAAAAAAAAAATTCCTACATTTTCTGTGTCTTTATCTGCCAGATTTCAAGTACACACCCAAGAAGGATTCAGATAGTCAAATGCTTCAAGAAGCTTTTTTAAAAATATATTTTTATTGATTTCAGAGAGAAAGGGAGAGGGAGAGAGATAAAAACATCAATGATGAGAGAGAATCATTGATCAGCTGCCTCCTGCACACCCTCCACAACCCTGGCATGTGCCCTGACCAGGAATCCAACCGTGACCTCCTGGATCATAGGTCGACATTCAACCACTGAGCCACACCAGACAGGCAAGAAGCCTTTTCCTCTCAGTTTAGTGATGGTTCACTCATGCCACTCAAATTGAGGAAATTCATTAAGAATACACCCTCTTAGATAGAGTTCAATATTTTTTGTAAAAACGTGTCTTATCTGTATATTTTAATTTTAATTTATTTTACCTTATGGTAATGTGTAAGGGGTTGGCCCTTCGGTGTTTTTTTATAATCAACAATAAACATTTACTTATTCTGTAGAATTTCACCACTTGTTTATCTGTTGAACTACATTTCCTTCTAAAGACTCTGTAGTGAAAAAAGAATATATAAAATCTAAGATTAAAGAGTGATGGAATTGCAAAAACACACACACACAACAACAACAAAAAAACCCTTCATGGCTCAGGAAATCCCAGCATGCCTGCTTTGTTGTTTGTCTCCAAAGTGAATGAGGTTTGTGAAAAGACAATCAGAATTGTCCTTTTGTTCCAATGGGTTATACAGGAAAGAAACAGGAAATCTTGATGAAAGCTTGGGCTTTACAGGATATTTATGTGAGTGTTTATCCCATGTGTTTGATGTTTCTCTCTACACATCTGCACACTTTATGCCTGCATTTTGGCTAAAATATTTTTAAATACCACTTTGCTTTTTTCACTTCATTATAATTCCTGGCATGATGCTTTCTATAGGGGAGGGGCACAAAAATTAAAACTGAATAAAGAAACGGAGGCCCAGAAGGCACAAGTCATTCATTTCTCTGGATGTCAATTTCCTCATAAATGTGAGGATAAAACCGGATGAGTGCTTCTAAAACTTTTCCACCAAAGCACCCCTAGCAGCGGTGAAAATGAATGTTACCCCCCTGGGGGATCTGAGGGCAAGCTGGAAGTTTCTTTGAAATGCCCTATTTTATCTGAAAAATTCATGAGAACTTTGCATTTTACAAAACAGGAAAGTCTATGTTTGTTTTAAAAAGAATGTTACCTCAATAGTAAAACTATTTGCTTTCCCACAAATAATCATGTGAATGCCACCCTCCAGGAAAGGAATGCAGCTTCCCATCACTGGGCACTGGCTCCCCGCCCCAGGGACCAGCGCCCATAGGAGAAGCCTGGGGGATCGGCATCTCAATACCCCTGCAGCTGGAAATGCTATGACCATTTAAGATTTGACCACTTCAGATTTTCATATTTTAGAGAAAAGGAAGACTAGATAACAGAAAAGTGGTCACACGTGCACTTGACCGGCAGCTGAGAAGGTCGTGGGAAGCCCAGAGAGAAGACAGTCCACCTGGAAAGGGGGCCAATAGGGAGTCGGTGGTGGAATGAGCGATGCCTGCATCTGTCAGACATGCACAGGGGCTGAGGTCTGGTCAGGCAAAGGCCCAGAATGTGAACGTTGTTGACCCTGGCCTAGGACGTCCCCTTCCATGTGCACATCCCTCCACAACACTCCGGCTGCTACTTCCACACTCAGGTGGGGAACCCTACCTGCTCATGGGCCAAACAACTCCACTTGAGTGGTTCTCAGGAAAGAACTGCTAGAAATACTCCTCACAGTCCACCTACACACCGGCTCAGCCTCTGCTTCCCAGACGCATGAGTGAAGATGAAGAGCCTGGCTCAGGTTCAGGTTCAGATTCCATCATCTATTTATTGTGCGGGACTCTGGGCTGGTTACTAACCGGATGTGCTCCGGTTTCTACAACTAGAACATGGGACAACAGATAGCGGCACCTGCTCCACAGACTACTGTGCGATGGGAGGTGCTCAGGTCGTAGAGAGCATGTAGAAACGGTACCTGGCCCAGATAAGGAAGGGTCTACTGACTGTTAGCTGTTATGATTATTATACACAGCCCAAATGTAACACCTTCCTCAATTATAGACTTGAATTTAAAAACAAATATGCAATTCTCCTTAGTCTCGTCTTCTCTTGGCTAAATATCCTATTCCTTTAAATTTTCCCCTGGCATAGTTCCAAACCTTTCTAGACGGTGGAGCAATCCTTTGAACATGTCTGAGTTAGTGTCCTATGTAAAATGGACAACCAGAACTGATTTCTTCTTCATACGACCTGATATATATATATATAAAATATATATATATAAAATATATATAAAATATATATAAAAGGCTAATATGCTAAGTGTCCATCCGACTGGTAGCTATGACACACAATGACCACCGGGGGAAGACACTAAATGCAGGAGCTGCTGAGCTGCAGTGACTTGGCAGCAGCAGTTCTCGGGTGATGTACCCCCAAACCCAGAGAGGAGGGAGCCCGATTCCTTGCAGGGCCACGCAATTCCACCTTCAGCCGTGGGTTATGTTGTTGCTGGGACATGTCGGCCCCCAATCTGGTTTACTGCACACTTGCATTTGCATTCCACACCCTCTACGACAGCAACTTTGCAGAGCGCCCTCTCACACTCCGGGACCCCTTGGGGGATGTCAGAGAGCCAATTTCGGCCCGTTCCCTGCTGGCCAGGCCGAGAGACCCCACCTGCCAGAGGGAACCCGCTCACTCCACAGACGTCCTTCAAGCCACAGCTCACCCCAGGTGCAGCCGGCCAGGAGGGACTATGGGAGGTTGGCTCCAGAGCGTGTCCGGCCTGCCTTGCTCAATCCTGCCCCACTAGCCACCTTCTAATTAATTTCCTTTCAATGTGCATGAATCTGTGCACCAGGTCACTAGTATATTACCATGTCTCTCACCTCTTTTATCCCATTGTCCCAGGTGTTTATGTCTTCTTTGTCACCCCCACCTTACACCACTCACATCCCTTACACCTTCCCCTCCACATACTTTCTGCAGATGATCTTCTAAACTGAAGCATAGGATTTTATATTCAATCCCAAAAAATTTCATCTTCTTAATTTCAGCTGTTTAAACTCCAAGAAGGAAACTTTATTTCTGTGTCATCATCCAGCGACTGACACATGTAGAAATTCCACCTCAAGTGGATACTTGTCATTCAGAGATGGCCCTTCAAACACACCTAACCACAGGTATTTACCATCATCTAAACCCTATTCCTCCATTTCCTTCATGAAGGACCTTGTCAGGTGGCTCAGTGAGATCCAGATATAGTACATCTACTCCTCTTTCCCTTTCCATCAGTCTGGCCCTCCTGATCAAAGAAGGAAATGAGCTTAATTGGCTTCATTTTAAAAATACATATTTTTTTATTATTTCAGAGAGGAAGGGAGAGTGAGAGATAGAAACATCAATGATAAGAGAGAATAATTGATAAGCTGCCCCCTATACGCCCCCTACTGGGAATTGAGCCCGCAACCTGGGCATATGCCCTGACCAGGAATCAAACCATGACCTCCTGGTTCATAGGTCAACGCCCAACCACTGAGCCACATCAGCTGGACACTAATCAGCTTCATTTTTAAAGAATGTGTGCTGGCTTGTAAGGACCACTACCACAGGCCTATCCTTTCTCCTGATAAACTTTCACAGTAAAAATAAAACAAACCTTAACATTGGGGAATACTGTTGCAGTTAACAGAATTTTCTGCTAAAAAAAAAGTTTTTAAGTTTTGTATATTATCATACGGACATATATTTTTCTAAAATCTACTAGCTCACACTCCTGCCTTTATGTCTTCTGAGTTAGTTTCTGCCTGGAGTCTTCATTCTCAACAACGATTCAAATGCACAGGCCTCCGGACACAGGAAGGATAAAAATGGGTGCACCCTGCACTGACCTGAGCGATCCCAGGGTGGGTTTTTTAAATTCCTGTTATACACTTGTGTAACATTTATATCATTTATCTCTTTCTCATGAAAATTAAATACAGAAAAATTGAGGCAATAGGGTCTAATTTCTATTAATAGTAGAAATTATTTAAGGAATTGATTTTCCTTATTAATTATTTTTGACCAAGACTATAAAAGACAAAAGTTTGGTAGATTTTTAAGTTTATCATTCTGAGAAAAGCCTTTGAAGCTTAAAATTCTTTCAAACAAATTTATATGCATGTATCTGTACACTAAAAACCGACTGTCACACTAAAAAGGAGCTGACACTGTCACACTATGGAAAGTGGGAGGTACAGAAAAAAATCATCCATGATTCCATCATCTGACAAATAATTAACATCATTGTTTAAATACTTCTGTCTGATTTTCAAGGTTGAGGATAACTGGGCCAGAAGGTGTAAACATTTCTTATAACTCTTGAAGGGTACAACCAAAATCTTTCCCAAAAGGCTGCATAATTTATAATGCCACTAGCAACTTATGAAAAGACCAATTTTTCTAAACTTTTGCCAACTTTCGATGGTACACTGTCAATTCTAATTTGAATTTTTATTAACACTAAGGCTGAAGATGTTTCTGGATTTCATTGAAACAAATATTTTAAATATTTCATATATATTGGTAATAATGCTCTAGTAATATTTTCACGTACAGCGATTTTGTGATATAAAGAGGTATTTAGAAGAGTTTATACGTGCCTCAAGAATTAAATGGCATCACCAAAATGAAGGACCTACCTGCTGTTCATATCTTTGCTTGACATCCTCCATCTGCCATAAAAACTCCTTTGATTGTTTCTCACGAAGAGACTTAGATCTAGTTAGATCTGCTTCCACTTTTTCCATCTACAAAATTAAAAAATCAAACATCAAATTTTGAAAAATTTATATTCCATGTTTTTATTTGTCCATTCACTAAAATGACAAATTTTAAATACCTCACCAATCATAATGATGCATTTACAGATGATAAAAGTAATAAAAGATATACCTGTTATTTTGGTATATTTTAATTGTTTAAGTCAAGAAAATAAAAAGTTAATATGTAATTGACTAAGTTCTATGATTGTTGGCCCATAGATAATCAGTATTGTGATAAAAAATGAATTTCCTAAGAAGTTGTTTAAGGAAGCACAGTCAAGCCCACTTCATTTTTGTTGGTTTCTAACTCAAGATGTGGGTTACAAGGCTCTCGTTCAGTGCTTTTCACATTCAACCTCAAGCAGGTGGCTTTTTAATTTGGCCTCGGAAATCTACCCTCCCTACACTCCAACAACCTTGGCGTTTCCCAAACAATCCATGGCAATCTTGGATCTCCCACTATCAGGCGTGTCCCTTCATGCGTTTCCTCTTCCAAACAGTCCATCTTGAACGTTGACTCATGTCTCTTCTCCTCTCTGAGGTTTCTATAATCCTTCCAACTGATAGGAATGTGTCGTCCTCTCTGAGCTCCAGGACTTGACATCTGTATTTCTCTAGGACACTGTTTTTCTCTGTACTATGGAAATGCTTCGAAGGTTTGAGCTTCGTTTACTCATCTAGATCCTGTGCTCCCTCTCTAGTAAAAGAAACTAGGATATAATTCTTTCTCTTGAATCTTAATTATTAACTAATTGCCTTGTTATGCTGTATTCAATTCTTAAGGATGAATGAAAGGGCAGGCAAAAGCAAGAGGGAAAGAAAAAAGAGAAGATAAATCAAGGTGGGAAGACATGGTTTATTTAGTGCTTTTAAGAGAGATCTTTATAGGAAATTGATTTTTGGTTCTTATGTTTCTTCAGCACAGATTGAATAGTAAAATAAATAATAAATATTTAAATATTTCAAATATTAAATACTTAAAATAAAAATGAAGAGCTTTCTATACTCAAAGTTTGTACAATAGAATATCTTCTATCAAAAAAAAAAAACAGAATTATCCTATATAATAAAAGGCTAATATGCAAATTGTCCCCTTGACTGGGAGTTCGACCAACCGGGAGTTCAACTGGGAGTTGAACCAGGGGGCAGGGCCAGACGACCAACTGCCTGCAGCCCCTCCCCCTGGCTGGCCCTGCTCCCGATTGGCCCCTCCAAACCCCAATCAGGATGGGCCAGCCAGACCCCACCCATGCACGGATTTGTGCACCGGGCCTCTAGCCTTCTGTAATCAAAATAGCAAACAATTGAAAGCACATGAAAAGACTTTTTATACCTAAACATTAAGAAAAATTCAAAATAAATAACTGATATTATAAGGTAATGAAATGTGTTATTTTAGGTTATACTGACCGAGAATGCAAGAGCCCACTCCATTCTTATTCCACAATTTAACAAAATAATAAAAAACAATTCTTGTAAAATACTCAAAGCTGTATAGAAACACAGAGTTCTCAGTTGCCATAGATACAAGAGATTCTGCGTTATCATACATCATTCCATATTCCATTCAACTTCCAAGTGTTTAAAACAAATAACACCACACTCCTTTTATTGTGTAACTCTGCCTTCCAAAAACCTCAGAGTAAAACGTGGTGGTCAAATTAGGAGCAGCAAAGGGCTTGGATGCATTTCTGTGAATGGTTGGTGTTTAAAGCAGTAACAACGAGGTAAAGAGGGTGCTGCAGTTTCCTTAGAGGGTGACTCAGGCATTACTTTAGCTACATGTAAAAGAACACCCAAGTGTCCACAGCTTAAACAACGCAGGCCCTTTATGTTTTCCTCACGTAACAAAAAGTTCAAAAATAGGCTGCTATATTGGCAGTTCAAAGATGTCAGGGTTAAGGTCTCTGCCATCCAACCTTCCCGTAATGATTGTGAAATGCTTCTGCAGCTCTGAACATCTGGGAAGGAAAGGGCAGAGGGGGAAGGGGACGGGATAAGGGCCGAGGGCCCCTATCAGCTGAGTCAAAAACCCTTTTACGGGCTTTGCTGCAGAACCTGTCAGTAGCAAATTAATGATGCCGTTTGCATCTGATTCACTGGAACAATATTAATAAAAGGCAAGCTCCACCTACAAGGTCAGAGACTGCAGTTTTAAAACTGTGTCTAATGTTGCCCTAAAAGTACAAATGAATATTGGGCCAACATCTGGCAGTCTCTGTCAAATATGGTCATAATAAGTTACTGCTCTTTCTCTAGTACAGTATCCATGTTATTATATTGTGAGTAACTTGACATTAACAATTTATATTATACAAATACTAATATACAATTGTATACAAATTCAAAATACATTTTCATGCAGTTAATACATATTTAGATAAATTATAAGAAATTGCCCTTCAAATATTTCCAGATATATGTAGAGATAGGTAGGTAGGTAGGTAGGTAGGTAGGTGGGTAGGTGGGTAGGTAGATAGGCTAGCAGAAAGATCATTATTTCTGTGTTTTAAAGACTGAAAACTAATATCCTTAACAATGAAAATCAATGACACAATAATCGATTATATCTAGAGTTCTTTTGTGAGAGATCATTAATTTATATAAGACTGCCAATATGTCTAAGGCCTGTCCTTTTGTTATTGATTTGTAGCACTTTTAGCTATTCTGGATGTGAACTTCTTGTTCAATATCTGGATTGCAAATATCCTCTCCCACTCTGAGTTGCCTTTTCATTTTCTACTGGTCTCCTGTTTTTTTAATGAATTTACATTTAACAATATTATTTTTATGTCTTTCTGTTTTCTATTTCGAAAATCCTTGCTTAGTAGTTCCAATTATCAAAAATGCTCTTGCATTTCCTTCTGCAAGTTTTATTGTTTTACCTATCTCTGTGTATCTACAATCCTAGAATTCATTCTGCGAATGGAGTGAGATAAGAGGCAAGATCCCCATATTTCCATGTGGCCATCCAATCGACAGTGTTTATTAAGTGATCATTCTTTCCCTGATGCACCGCAATACTTTCTTTGACAGGAATCAGACTGATCATAGATGTGCCTATTTTTGTTTGTTTTTTCTTCTGTAACAGTGGTCACCCTCCCGCCCAGACCACACGGCGTTCATTACTATCGCGTACTTAGTCTCGGGCCTGGGGTGTACCCTCTCCCAGACTGCCGCAGCTGTGCTTAGGCCTCTGCATCTTCATACACATTGTCTTTATTTTTTTTATTTTTGTTAAAGGCATCTTTTTATTGTTGCTTCAGTACTAGCGAGCGGAATAAATATATAAGGGCGGACTCTCCAGCCGGTTCTGTACAAAAGTGTGCACAGTGAGAGGAAACCAACAGTCACATACAGAGAGCACCGGCTTTTCCTCCAAGAGCTAGAGCTACACTGTTACAGCTGAACTGTAGCTATAAGAAAGCTTAGCCCCTTTTCACCCTCCCAGCGCCAGCCTCACCCTCACAGGCAAGTGCATTTCCTCACGAACTGTCCTCCCCATTTGGGGGTTGTGATGCCTCCTCTTGCCAAAAGTCGTTCCTCACCTTGGTCCCTGGCTGCCCAGCCAGCGCTCCAGCCACGGTGGCCTCTCAGACACTTCCTAAGAAGACCCCTGAGAAGGCAGCAGCGCGCCCTCGCTGTTCCAAATATTCTTCTAGTGCTGAGAAAGGGGTTTCTTCTGGTCCCCGTGGGCGGGAGGCTGGGCGCACGGGGACTTGGGGGGAATCTGGGGAGCCATGGGGTCTTCTCAGCAAAGAAAACCGCAGTGGTTTTGGTGGAGCCGGGCGCATGGCTGCGGGATTTGCCTGGAAAGGACACAGCAGCAGCCAAGGGTAGTTTCTGGCCATGGAACATCGACAGGAGGGATTTTTCCCTCGGTGCCCTCGACCCCTCGGCCGGCCATCCCTTCCCTGGCAGGTCTCACAGAGAGCTGGCCGTCCCTGCAGGCAGCTGGCTGCGTTGAGAAGCATGAGAGTCGTGTCAGCAGTTTGGAGGAGTAAGTGCGGGTTGATTATTGACCCACGCTTTCTTTCTTCAAATGCCACATCGGACCCAAGTCAAAGTCGGTGCCACTAGCCCAGGCGGAGCCCCGCGGCTAGCGCTTATCTCTTTCTTGGCCATGGCTGCTGCCCTCGGGAAGGGCAGGGGGCAGGGGTGTGGGGGAGGGGAGGGTGGGTGGGGTGGGTCTTCATACACATTTTAGAATCAGCTTGTCAGTTTCCCTCCCTCCCTCCCCAGAAGCACTGCTAATGTTTTGATTTTTAGAATTGTGTGGAGTGACATTAGTATAACATTGACTCTTCAAATCCACACACACATGACACATCCCTCAATTTATGTAGGTCTCCTTTGGTTTCTCTCAATAATATTTTCTAGTTTCTAAAATAGAGGCCTTGCACCTATTTTGTCAGATTTATTCATAGATAAGTGAAGCTTCCTGATACTATGATGCCTTTTTCAAAGTTTGTTTTTTATTTGTTGGTTACCTGTATATAGAAATAAAAATGAATTGTATATTTGATCTAATAGGTGACCTTGTTAAATTAATTACCAATAATATTTTAGCAAGTAAACATTTGAGAAATTCAGTTACACAAAGAAGCCATAATTGTGAATAAATGCATAACTCACATGGATACCTCCTCTGTTACCTCTTAATGACCCACTTATTCCACTAGCTACACTACCTATTATAATCACACACTTTCATGCCTTGGTCTGTCAACAAGCCACCCACATGTTTTAATCTTTAAATTCCCAGAATCCACAACAATGGCTGAGTTGTTGTATGGCAAGCATTCATACATTTTTGACAAATGAAAGGAAGAATAAATCAAGTGTGTTGAATCCTTGGCCGGTAAGTCATTAAAACAATTGAAGTATTAAAAAATAATAATGTTACTATTTTCACAATTGATAACCATTAAAATATGCAAAATACAGAAAGAATGACATGTTTTTCTGGTCCAATGTTCTTAGAG